AACCGTCCGCCTCCGGCAGTCGTGCCCGATGTCTTTAGATGTTTGATCACCCTATGTCCTAGAAAAGCAAGCCTTTCAACCTTCCGGCATCGGTTAGTGGATACCTGGCTTTTGCGCAAGCATGAAAGCACAAAATTTTACATCGGCTGGTTCTGCCAAGTCATCGTATAGGTCAAATCCATTCACCAATAGGTTTCTGAATGGAAGAAGGGATGCGATGCGGTACGCCTACGCAAAGGGATTTTGGGTTAACGAGAGTTTTCCGTTTTACTCTTTTCGGTTTGGCGACGGGCGGGGGCACTTTCGCTGCTTCACTAGTTCTGTTTTACAAGTCTCACTCTGGTGAAACCTGTGAACTCTTGTGAAGCTGGAGCAAGCTCATCGAATCACCATGGTAGAACCAGAAGTTCAAAATGCCCCCCCCCTGCCCTTTCGTTCACTATTATTTATCATGCAATGAGGTCTGATACTGCGAAAGCTGTTATGCAATGATGTAGGTGCCTGTACTTTTTTGTGGATGTAGAAGCTTCCGATCTTCTGTTTTATCCCTGACAAATGTCATTGAGCTTGATCTATAGGTGTCTATTGCGAGGGGAAATCAACAATCCTCTTCCATCCGTTTCATCCGTCATTTTTTAAGTTTCATCGTAGTTAACAGACTTGTTTGAGAACGCAATAAATTAGCTGAGATTTTCTTTTCATCTCTATCATCCATCATTTTCAGTTCTCTCACACAACTGGGCCGTTTCCAGACAACGGTATATATGCCTACATACTGTTTTTGCACGTATGCAGCGTGAAAGCCGAAGGAGGGATTGTGAGTTTTGATTTCTGTTTTTTTTCAGCATACCTATCATTGTAGTAGGTATTTTTTACGATTTGTTTTTCCGAGCTTCACCTCGTTTGGAAATGGGCATTGGTTCAATATTCACCAATAAAGAAATATTACAGTGGCAGACACGATGCTGGGGTGGATTGCGACTTGCCCAAGCGCCAATGCACAATGGACGACCGTTAGAGCCAACGAGTATTGTTGAACGAGGCGATCATATGATATTCTACATCAGTCCTGTGAACGGCGTGAATACACTCCAAATCAGGATAACTGAGGCGGAAATGTGAGTTGCTTTCACGACAGAAATTCAGCTTTGGAAAAAACAAC